AAGGAAAAACGAGGGACAGATGGAGGACGATTGCTGAAAAAGAATTGTTCCATTCATGAATGTGTCTATCCTGGATGCTATAAGAAATACAGTAAAAGTTCTCATTTGAAAGCTCACATGAGGATACATAGTGGTGAAAGACCGTACCGTTGCAGTTGGCCATCATGTCTATGGAGATTCGCAAGAAGTGACGAGTTGACAAGGTAATATCTGAATTGTTTGGTGACAATGCGTTTGAAAATTCTAACAAAATATTTCGCTTTCGTAACAAATAATATGTGAGTACTACTATACCTGAATTGAAGTAACATGTCTTCAGTAACTATTTAACTTCCAGTGGCATGCTTCAGTTGTGCATCCAATTTTTAGTATAACTCACTCTCTTTTAAAATATTTCGAGAAGCCATTTACTGAACTTTTTCAGGCATTATCGAAAGCATACCGGTGACCGTCCATTTAATTGTACCTTATGCTGCCGGTCATTCTCACGTAGCGATCATCTCAAGTTACATGTGAGACGTCATTATAGCGGCTAGAAGTTCATGATTACTCGTTATTCAACAATCATACCATATCCCAACCCCATGTCAGTATTATATGCGATTCCATAAAAGATTCCCATGAATACTGCGACTGTATGTTCATGATAACATAACTGGAAGGAAAAAGACTTCATTTCATATTTCAGCATGCTAAGGTGCACGCTGTGCTTCATAGCCGAATCGATAAATCCAGAGGAACTCAAGTAAAGAAGCACCACTGAAAAACAACCAAAACACATTGGAAGTGAGGAAGTTATTAAGTTGTAAATGATGCCAAGAAAATGGTTGGAGTTATTAAGTACATGGATAAATATTTAAATGCTACTTCACTTTTTTTGACTGTAAAAATCGAAAATATTTGGAAAATACTACAAAAGCAGGATAAGAAAGGCGAAATATCCAAAACTGAATTATCTAGAAATTCAGGAATAAAATCTTCGTTGACCCCGTTATGTTACAAACTCCATGTTGGGCAAAGAACAATACCGAAACAAACTTATCTGTTCAGTTATTACGAGCATTATTTTATCACATCAGCAGGCTTGAAACAATAAAGTTTTGTATGTACACAAAAAGAAATAGCTACCATCAAGGAGGTGGTATTCTTGGAAAGACAGGTAATATGGTATTATTATATTGTGAGTTGGTCGGGATAAATGTAATCGATGTTTGCGACTCCAAATTATTTACTAATTGAACCGTACGTGGGTCACAACGCGGAGCTATTGAATCCGATGCCAACGAACGGCTCGATGCCCTTAATAAGTAAATAGATTTACAGTTTACATTGCTCCAGTACAAGTATATTAACAAAGACGTCCCAGGATGCACTATTTCTTTCGTTAAAGTCAAAAAATTTCAAAATGAACATCGTAAGCATTTTTCAAAACACAGAATGACAAATTATTAAACTTGCAACTGTCAAAAACTGAAATCACTACGTAGAATAAACAATTTCGTTTCGTTCAACATTCAAATTTTAAAATCCTATAGAGGGCCAAGAATGATTTTGTTCCCTTGTTTTGTTTAAATTCATTAATTTTAACAATGTCAATATGACGATAATTTTGAATTATCAATTCACAGACCCCGAGTTCTTCATCATCAATTGTCGAGTTCGATTTAGTTCTTCCAACAGCTTCCGGTTATTGTCTTCTTAAATAAAATACTTCAAACAAAACTATTTTGCCATCCAAAAATTTCCAAATTAAAAAAGAAAACTCATCTTCATAGCCATTATTAATAAGAATTGCCTGCCTGCTTGCTTACCTGTCAGTTCAGAATGTTGGAATACTCAACCGACAAACCTCAGCATTCAAGAATGAAGCATAGATAATACCACTGTGGGGATAAGATCCCTTGATATTATAGTTTTTACTCCTTATTTCATTTCTTTAAACCGCAAAAAGCAATACATTATTTTTTAGAATACAGTGCCATAATTTATAAACAACATTCCCTTCTTATAGTCACAACCGTTAGCTAGTTTTAAAAAAAAAGATAGTCACATTTGCGTGGTATGATAAATTTCCAGTTTCAGATTTCTATCTCTGACGGTAGAATATAATACCTTATTTCATAAAATACACCACCCATCACTCTATGAAAAATTCCTATTTAGGACTTAATGATGGAAAGATGGTCAGAAGAAAAGTAGGAAAAAACTGAAAAAAGCATAAGCTAAATTGGTATGACTGTCGGATTTATAACATATGATAATTATTACAACGTGAAAATGGAACAAAACCTGAAAAATGGTACCTTGCTTGGAAGAGGCCATAATTTGAGCAAAAATAAACGTTGCACCATAAAAATGCTTTACGCAACGATCTGAAACAAATACTATCAGTTCTCCTGATATTTTCCCATCGTCGTTATAAACCGACAAAACTTATGATAAGAGAGATGAACTTAAAAAGTATATGCTCGAATCTACATAACTCCCATGACTGAAATCCATCAAGTTTATTCTATAACATAACGGTTTCGTTCTTTTATCTCTAAGTAATATGTACGCATACGGTTGTATACATACGAATGATATTATGACACATCATTACAAACGCACTATCGATTAAATACGTCTAACCTTAGGTCGAATAACCATTGTGTAAATATTTTGTTTGTCTGTCCTCATTGATACATGTGTAAAGGGTAGTGAGATGGATACGTACGTAAACAGGAAGCAAAAACACACGTGTTAACGTGCAAACATATAAAAGTATTTTTTTATACCAACTTTAATTCACTTCAACTTCTCGTAAACATAACGGAACATATGGTAAGAATGAAAGAAAAAAACAGATAATATTTAAAGAGAACATGATCAGGAAGAAGTGTAGACAAAGACACGTAAGACCACGCACATACGTGAAACCTATCCTTCTCATTGTCATTTCAGATTTCCATAGTTTAAATTCCCGCCTTATCGTATTGCAGAAGATCCACTCACGTGTAATTTGAGAATGGTTAAACAATGTGTTGCAACGGAAAAGTCCTCAAACAGCAGTACTTGACGTATGGGAGGTTTAGGCTAAGTGGGTTTTTGTAGGGTGAAATGTAGTGAAGATGGTGCGGGGCGGGGGAAGAAGTGGATGGTCAGTGTATGGCTATTATAGTATGAGGATGTCAAGATGTAGGATGACCAAGTGGTAACGGGATATACTGCGATGGTGGTCTAAATGTTGGGAAGTTTGTACTATGAAAAGATAGAGAGAGAAGGGGAGGGACTATAACAAGGAAGTGAGGATTTTGGGTACATTAATGGCAGATCCAGTGGTATTCCCGTATAGGCTGTTCTGATACAGCGAATTCGGTAATGGTTAGGTTATGTGGATGGTATAAGGAAGTTTTACAAGTAGCACTACTGTGCTACTCGATTATCGGCGTAGTTCCATGGCACTAGCATAGTGTGGACATTATTTCTAGTATGAATATCGTAATTCTGGTATCCACTAGTTGCAGTGAAGATCTCAGAACTTCCGGGAATGATTTGATTTCCTTTTACTGAATAGAATTAGAGTTAACTTCGGTTCATCTTCTATTGAACAAGATATGGCTTCCGGAAAGGAATCTGTATAATTGCTACCGCCATTTGGCAAGCTGAAAATGCGTCAGCAGAAGCTTGTAATGTAAGTATTAGGTAATTATATGATTTTTGATGAAATAAGTTAGAAATTGGTTGTTTCAAATAATCGATTAGGATCACAAGTGTCAACGTTCTTGAGAGTTACTTCCAGATATCACTTATAGCCATTGAATTCTCTGAGTTTTCTTCTCCATAAGTACTATTATATAATAATGTGTACAAATACCATCTGCTGTCGATGAGGAGCAACAGTGAGACTGTGGGTCAAACCTGTCGACGATGTCACTTATATTCAGCACACATCCCTCAACTGACTTTTGTCATAGCCGTTCGTGTCAGTTATGACACGAAAAACATTTGTGTTTGCATTATTCTGAACTGTTCAAATTTTAGGTTTACACTAGCTATTATATTGCCTGCGATATGTAAGATATTTCGAGTAATCTTAATTTATTTGAGTTGTAAAAATATTTATATCCAGTGTATTTTTTAGCTTTGAACTATAAAAAGCACCAGGAATGATAAAAATGATTCTCTCCTCGTCGCAATAGATATATCTACTGATAGCAAAATTACTGCGTTTGTGGAATATCGCTCAATCTAGAAGTGAAAAGAAAAAGAAAGGCGGTATAAAAAGCTGTGTCAAAAGATAAAGTAGGAAATATGGTTGAATACGGTGTAAACGTCACGAATAAATTTGGGTTCCTATCAGATGACGGTAAGTGTTTAAAAGTTTTCATAAGCATGATGTGACATTCGTAGATATGAAAAAAGAAAATTAGTCCGTGTTGTTCTCATCGTGACTGTATTGTTCACAGCACACTTCATACTTCTCTTTAGCCATTCTGGCGTTTGTTTAGTTCATGTCCTTTTCCAGCGTGCTCGGTTTAGTATTACTGAACTTAATTTCTCTGTTTCATATGTTATAAATATGTCTAAGATAGGTGTGGTAGGGTTCGTCCAGAGACGTTTTTTTTTGATAGTAGGAGAGATAGTAAATGAAATCGTTAGTAAGTTTGCGGTTAATCGCTATTCTGATGGAAATGATTGTGCGCTGCATTTCATAAAGCATTATGTCATATTGCAGAGGTGGATGATCCGGAAGTGATATTCAGGAAGGCTGAAGCTTTGAGTAAAAAAGAAGAAAAAAGCGCGAGTCAGAAAAAAGCCGACAAAAATGCTGCAGCAAGGAAAAAGAAGGAAATCACTTCAGCAGCGATGGTAACAGCTGTGGCAAGGGAAATCGAACCGAAAAAACAACCGCAGCTACCAGTTGGTGGTGGGATGAAGAAGAATGATTGTAAGCTGAGATATTGTAATTTTTTTTTTTTATTGAATATGAACTTTATTGCTCTATGATTTCAAATAAAAATTGAATGGATTAATTGATGAGTTTCGGATGATGAATAGAAGGATCGTGAAAGACGATGATTTGATGTCATCTTTTTGCATATCCCATTTTGTTTTAGTCAGCAAAGAGAATAAGGAAAATCGTCCAGATGGAGAGCGTGGCCGTGGAAGGGGAAGAGGTCGTGGTGGCATTGGTCGCGGGCGAGGCTTTACACAGCAGCTGGACAATACACGCCCGACATTTGATCAGGTTTACTGAATATGTTTGAACAAAATGTCATCTTGTGTTAACTGTGTTAGTTCGAGATCATTTTTAGATCTGCATCCGAAATCGATGCGTTTCACGAAACCCTACACTGTTGCTCTACACTTTTAGCCGTTGACCATAGCTTTTGTTCGTCTTCTGCTTTTGGTCTCCGTCAGGGGATGATCAAAAGGAGTGAAAGCGGAATATTTTTATATTTTGTCGCGGTCCAAAATGAAATTATAGAATTAGAAACACTGTAATTTAACAAATAAACGTATAACAAAAGATACATAGAATGAAGATATGATTATCATGGTGAACTTATATAGGTTGCTTCATGTTTGCAGATTTTATCTTTATAAACTAGTTTAATCATAATACTATTCAGAATGGTGAGCGTGATGTGATGGCTGAAAGGTTTGGTGAAGGGAGGGGACGAGGACGTGGTCGTGGAAGCAGAGGACGACCATTTTTGTAAGTTGTCATAGAAGTATGCTGAAATTGCTGAGACAAACTTTTATGATTTTTTGACTAGTCTTTCTTGGCCTTTGTTCTCAATATCTTCTCCATATTTTGGGGTTTTATTACATTAGTGTGAGAATAAATATTCTTTAAATTTAATTCTTTCCAAAGAAGGTTTGTCAGTGTAAACGTTGAGGCTGAGCTTTCGAGTCTAAAGATTTTCTGGGAAAACAATTGGCTCAGTTTTAGCCGAGGTGGACGAGGTGCTGCGCGGAACTTTGATGGAGATCAGGACCACAATATGATGGATTTACAATCAGAGCTGAATGGCAACGGAAATGTCGATCAGTTTGGTGGTGAACGTCAAAATTTCGCCGGTTAGTTTTCGATTCACTTGATATATGTTGGAGAAGAAACAACTGATATAGGGAAAACGAAGACCATAACTTTATCGGTTATAATATAAACAAGGCATATTTTCATGATTTTTTCTTCGTGACAGATTTTGGAACTTATCGTGGCTCATATCGCGGTGGACGAGGCGGATTCCGTGGAGGTGATCGCGATGGTGAGCGTGAACGGCCTATATTCCGCGGTGGACGTGGTGGGCGCGGTGGGCGTCAGTTTGAGCGGATGAGTGGATCGGATCGAACTGGTGTTAGACCGATGGATAGAAAGGATGGTTACGGAAAGGGTAATTGGGGAACTGATCAAGATGAAATGAATGGGCAAAACGAGCAAATGAATGATGGTACGGAAGGTATAATTTGACATAATTTGATACTTTATCCTCTCATAGACTTAAATGTGGGTTGTCGAGCTACTGGAAGAATTTAGCTGGGTGACTACCAAGGAGTTAGTTGTTATGGCAGCTGTTATTATTTTGTTATTCGGACAAATGTATAGGAACTTTTTCGTGCATTTTTTTTATAATAAATTTTTCTGGATTCAGTGATAAATTGATGAAATTAATGTTCATCGTAGAAGGGAATATGCATGCAGTTTTTTTTTTTTCAGTTGTCATGAAGGAAGAGGATGCTGTACCGCGTGAGAAAACTCAGGAAGAGCTACGTTTGGAAGCTGAAGCTGAAGCACGTGCTAAACAAATCACTCTGGACGAGTTCAAGGCACAGATTGCCTCCAAACGTTCGGAGCCACACTTCAATATACGTCAAGCTGGTGAGGGTACCAATGATAAGGATTTCGGAAAACTTGTCCCTTTGAATAAACCGATCATGGAAGAGAATTCTGAGGAGGAAATCGTCGTCGTGGTATGTCTTATTGGTTTTGCATTACTCTTTCCTTTGAATTTACTTTCTTAGAATGAGGACTCAGCAATCTGTATTTTGCGTTGCGGTTGTTTCAGCGTCGTGAACCACGCACCAAGCGATTGGATATCGAGATCAATTTTACGGATGAGCAGCGTGGTGGACGAGGTGGTCGTACAAGAGATGGTTTTAGAGGTGGACGCGGTTCTCGTGCTGGGCGAGAGAATCGTAATCCAAAACAAGTCCAGACATTCGAAGTATCTGCTGACGCATTCCCGGCACTCGGAAGTCAGTAACTCATGCAGTCAGTAACTCACACACTTGGAAACAAAACAGGAAAAAAACTTGTTAATTTTGAAAGCAGTTTGGCTGTTCGCCAATAACCTAATTGCGTATACACAAAATATTTTGACGAAGTTTAGTATTGTATGTAGAATTTTTTTTCGCACTTACCTTCTCCCTCCCATTTGTTACACCGTTCAGAGTGGAGGAGAAGAGGGATGAGAAGTGTGTTATGCAGTCAGGATGTTTCGATGTAACGAAGATTTTCTTTTATTATTTTTGTTTTCTTCTGATCAGAAATTAAATCAAAGGATTTGTTGCATTCTAATTAAAATAATCTTTAACATGCCAGTAGGCTACAATGTTTTG